TTGCTGATGAGCCTAAGCTGCGACTTACAGCTCCGGATAGGGTGAAACGCGTGAGAGAAAATCCCCTTAATTTTTTCATGATTCGTCCAGGTCAAATGCGATGAGCAGATTATCAGGTGAGGTTATGAATGGCTAAGGTGTAGAATCCGCGTGGAATAGAGCCTACCTGCTGTTGAACATAAATGAATTACTTCCTTTATACATTTAGGACAGAAGAACAATAAAATATATTTAAAATGACAGGAAATCTTAAATTTTAAATAAAACAAAGTGTTACCTGTATCAAAACAATCCTTTTCATGAGTTAGATAGAGAAAAGCCAATCCCGGCTTTGCGGTCCGAGCCATCCAATCAAGAAAGCCTGATTCTTGCTGAAGACTATCCACAGAATGCCCCGTCTGGCGACTTGGATCGGAATGGTGACATGCTCCCGGGACACAGGCACATTTTAGACGTGACAAAGCGACAGAATCAGATGATTTAAAGTCGGACAGGTGGCCGTTAGCATGTGAAAGAGGTTGTGATGTAGACTGGCAAAATTCGGCAGTATGATCAAGCAGCAAATTGGAGTCGGTCCAATATGAGGGTGGCTCTGTAAGGAGCCGGTCTGGCCCCGGAGGGTCTGCATGCCATACAGAGTATGCCTGCTGTGCTGCCAGTCCACGAATCAACTGACGACCACCGGCCGCACCACTCGCAGCGTTTGCTCGCCAAACAGAGGGAGAAATAGCCTTTGTTGCAGTTGCCTCAGCTGCGATAGAAGTCTTAGGAGCAGAGAAGAAATGTAAGGCACAAGACGGTGAAAAGGAATTATGAAGAGAATATGAAGAAGAGGTAGGTTTGGTGACAATAGAGGCTGATGGAGAGGTTGAAGATGAAATATCAGGAGCCACCCAGTCGTCGGCGTCACCACCACCCAGTGCGACGAGCAACACAAGCAAGATATGCAGATCAGTAGGCTGATCAGTTTCTGATGAATCGCAGATGAGTTTAGTGGAAGGAGTGCTAGATGGCTGAGAAGAGGCTTCATTTGTGGCTTTTTCTCGAGGTTTAGACGTGAGAGTAGAAGCTGATTGCAAATGCATTAGTGTAGGACCATGTTGGGCAGCCAACAGGCGCATGTTATGCTGGGTAACGCGACGAGCCAGGCAATCGAGTTGTCGCGTAAGCTGGGCCTGCAGATATGACCAGTGGCTGGCAGGATAATGTACCAGAAGGAAGCCGACCACGGAAAATTCAGAGGTCGACGACGAGGAGATGTTAGCTGTGGGATGGACTGGAGAATGTTCTCGTCGGCCCAAGGAGCCGAGAAGATTATCGAGCTAAGAAAGTATAGGCAAGAAGTAGAAATAATGATATTAATAATTCTTATTTGAAAGTATGAAGACAAACATGGTGTGGCCTTTTGTGTGGTCACAGTCTCCTTTTATTGTATAGCAGTTGTTTGACCTTGTTTTCGCAATTCTGTCATATTGGTAGGAAGACTAAGAGGAACGCATCCAGTCCGAAGTCTATTGTATGCATCATCATTTCCAGAGTAGGACCGTGGACGTATTACATTCCTAGACGTTTCGCCGGCATCGTAGTCGGCATTGCCAGTGAGTATCGCCATTCTTAGCACCATTCAACAACTCGTCAAAGAGACAATTGAAGTCGAACCTTTGACTAAACGTGTGCTAAACAGTGATGGTATCTCCCCTTCTGCCCTGGGCTATTCACATTTCGTAAGTCCTATAACGCTTTCCCTTATTACATTTTTTCCGCGCCTATTCGATGTAGTGTAGTGTGCTCCTATGAGCGGCTTTCATGAAAACCATTCACACTCCACGCTGTCGTTCTCACTCCCTTCACACTTGTGTTGGGAATTTTGATCAGTATACCATATTGTTACGCAGTCCTCCTTCCCTAGGTTTTAGCAGAGGCTCTCTCTTGCTCCGTAAGATCCGTTTACTCTCTCCCTGATTCACATATTTCACTTGACCTCTGCCACCCCATCTGTGTCGCTCCAGGCATTATTCGCCCTCCCGCTGCGTCTGGGTGATTAATTCGAGGCTAAAGCCTCAGAGTAAGTGTCATGATCACGCCTTTTCTAATTGGAACACGTCTACGGTAAAAACAGACCTACTGTCAGCCAAATAACTCCAGTCTCCGCCGCGTCTATCCTGTTTCTATTCGTAATACCAAGTCTATGACTTTCCATGCCCTAGTCTCTTGTGCACCAACCAATAAATGTTGTGGTACTGCTTGATTTGATTAAGTTTGTAGGTTGTAGGTTAGCACACAAGAGACTAGGGCATGGGAAGTCATAGACTTGGTATTAGAGATATAAAGAGGATAGAAACAGTGGAAGCTAAGGCTGGTTGGCAGAACGGATACGGAAAGAAATGTTAACACGACTGATCAACCTAACAGTATGGACCACATATTTTACATTTAACGGCAGTATCTACGAGCAAATGTTTGGACTACCGATGGGATCTCCACTGTCACCTCTTTTGGAAAATGTGTACATGGACAAGTTGGAAAGGGAATTCGTGAAGTCACCACTGCAACCGAGTGCTTATGCAATATTTGGATGACTACTTTGCACTTTGGTCACATGGTAAGGAAAATCTTAATGAATTCCTCAATTTTATTAACCAACTTAACGAAAGAATTAAATTCACAATGGAGATGAAGGAGGATGAACAGCTACCCTTTCTGGATATTGAAGTCATACGCTCCAAGGGGACACTCATGAGGAAACTATAAAGAATGAATTCATATACAGGAATAATCCTTAATTTTCAGTCCTATCATAACTACAGACTGAAGATCAGAATACTGAGAAGTTTGATCATCAGAAGATTAAGACTAACGGAGAATGAGTTCTGGGACGAGGAGTTGGACAAACAGACACGGATTTGCCTTAGTAACGGATATGCCAAAGCATTTATAGAAAAAAATGTGAAGATTATAAAGGGCCGATTTCAACTTGGATTTTTTGAAAACAGATCAGGAATCAGGATGACAACCAAAAGTGGATTTGCCTGCCGTCATCACAACTAAACCAACAATTGCGACCGTTACTAAGGAAATGTAACATCAGGGTGATAACAAAGGAGAAGAAAACACTTTTCACTAGTCTGCCGAGGCAACACGAGAAGACTGACAAACTTGAATGCTTGGGAGTTTATCGCATCAAATGCGGCAACTGTGTGCAGAAGTATATCGGTGAAACAGAAAGAAAAATCAACCTACGAATCAAGGGACATCAAAGACTCTGCAGGAACACGGATACGAAAAGATCGGAAATAGCGGAACACATTGCACGAACGAGGCACGAAATCGACTGAAAGATTGGCTGCATGCGGTAAAGATACAAATAAACGCAAGATCCAAGAGGCCATCGAAATACTGACATTCCCAGCACAATGGTGAAGGGGGTGAAAACGACAGCGTGGAGTGTGAATGGCTTTCATGAAAGCCGATTAAAGGAGCACACCAAACTACATCGAAATAGGCACGGTAAAAATTAAAAAAGGGAAAGCGTGATATGAGGAGATAGGAAATTTGAATAGCCCAGGGCAGAATGGGGAAATACCATCACTGTTTAGCACACGTTTAGTCAAAGGATCAGCTTCACTTGTCTCTTTGACGACTTGTTGAATGGTGCTAAGAATGGCGAGACTTACTGATGATGTCGACTATGATGCCGGCGAAACGTCTGGAAATGTACAATGTCCACGGTCCTACTCTGAAAATGATGATGCATACAATGGACTCCGGACTAGGTGAGTTCCTCTAGGTCTTCCTACTAATATAACCGAGTTGCGAAAACAAGGTCAAACAACATAATAAGTCTCATTTTCCGTTTATAAGTAGGTTAACGACATTACCAGTAGATCATGAGATGTATCAATCCCAATTCGCTAAGGTGATGAAGGAATGATAGTCGAATTTTTCCACGATGAAATAAGACCTTATGTCTCCATAAAATTTTGCATAGCTTCGCAAAATGTATTTTATCAAGGTTTTTAAAAAATAATAAGCACAAAATTGAAGTAATTGGCAACCATAGAAATATACTTGATGGCGAAATGAATTAAGAATTTGCATGCAGTTCCGTACAAGTGAACATTAATCTAATCCCCCTCTTTTAAGCTACACACTAGAGTATATCCTCTTTGTGAATAGCTTTTAGTTCGAATGTAAATCTTTTACATCCATTAGTTTATGAAATTATGAAGCAAGGAAAGTCTTGCGTAGCCTTACAAGGGTATGAAAAGAATGCCCCGGAGTCGCGATATGTTCACTTTAACCGCTCATTTAAGTAATGAAGGAATATCAAAGAGAAAAACACAAAATCGATTTCCATCCAAGCTTCTTGTTATCCATAGTTATGAAACTAAAGCGAGAGCGAAGTAGTCTAATATGGTAATAAATCTGAGACTAGCATGAATAAATAAACAAGACCAGAAATAAGACAGATTAGGGGAAATATCGGTTCAAAAACGTTATTAACTGAGACTAAGTATCAAATGTATTAGAAAAAACAATTGCGATGATTAAAAAGGATAAACATGAGATATCAATTTTTCGTTCATAAGTAAGGTTTCGAGACCACCAGTTATATGGTTTAAGGTGGTAATTGAATTTTCCCACAAGCATATGAAAAAAGCTGACTTTTCCATTGAATTTTACATGGCCTTGCTTTCCCAAAAGAAGTTCTCATTCAAAGTGGACTGCAGTTTCGACCTTGCCTAGGTCTCATCAACACCCCCAACAGAAGTCGAACCATGACAATGTAGAGTTTAATCTCGACACTTTGATCACTACGTCAAATTGCCAAGAGTGCCCTTGGATCACAGAGCAGATATGAATTTCAAGGAAGGCCAGGCATTTTTCCATATCACATTCTTTAGTGGGATTGTCGATAAATGATTTACTGGTAGTCTTGAAACCCTACTTAAGAACGAAAAATAAGTAAGGAAGTCGATTGTCATCGCAAATACAACCTTGCTTCATCGGCAATCCCACTAAATAATGTTATATGGGAAAATGCCTGGCCCTGTGACCCAACTGCACTCGTAGCAATGTGGCATAGTGGTTAAAGTGTCGAGATCACACGCTGCACAGTCATGGTTTGAATCGCACCGGGGATGTTGATAGGACTTAAGCAAGGTTGAAACTGCAGTTCACCCTGGACGAGAACACCTTATGAGAAAGCAAGGCTATTTGAAATTCAATGGAAACGACAACTTTATTCATACGATTAAGGGAAAATTCAACTACTAGTCCTTCATCACCTCAAAGGAAATAGAGTGAATAGACTCATATGAGATATAAATATATGTAGGGGCTCCTGAAATTGCTCAATTTTATTCCGAGAAAGGAAAATCTATAGCCTTGTTGACATACGCATAACCTAAAGAATATTAACGAATGGCCAAACTTGCAAATAACAGAAGTCTAGTGATTGCTCCAATTCAAATAATGATGAAATCTTGATTCGCCTATATTTATGGCATCTCATTATCTACACCAACTGGAAATCTGTTTGGCGGAATGCCGACGAACGTAATAAAAATACACCTAGAAATTAATCCCAAGGCTTAATGCGATTTCCATAATGTAAGATCGGAAATGGATAAACTATTTTTAGGTTCAAAGGGTCCGATAACATTTAACTAAGTGTAGGCGCCCCCCAAGCAGTATCACAAGTATAAATGCCATTAACGATAAAAGTTAGACCGGGCCGAGAAAGTTCGGTCAAATTTGCACCCTTTATAATGGCACCTCAGCAAAATTGGAATGAATGGAAATGTGTGTGAATTTCACCCCCTACTGGAGACCATAGAGGCTTTATAACAAATAATAACCACCATGCATAATTTCGGTCCATATGAACCGATCATTTGATCCAGGCACGATAGTAGACTCTCAACTAGAGTCTGTAAATCGCCTTCCGTGTCAAATGCTGGATAATAACCTATTTGGTTATATACAAATTAGGTCTCCAGACTATAGGTAGATCTTTAAAAGAGTTCTAGCCACCTAATATAAGTCCTTCCTCACCTTGTGTAACAATGGTTGACTATAACTCTTAATAAGGATCTTCTAATAGTCTTCTAACCTAGTTAATATGAGTATAAATGACGTGGTCGAACGTGGTGGCAAAATAAAGGTTGGTCATAAACAAACCCTATATATATATAAGAGGTTTGGCTTGCCTTGAAAGTCACATCTTACACAAGAATGAGGCGTTTAAGCCTTAATCAGGCCTCACGCTGTTAAGGCCTCTCACATTTATGCGGTAGTTGATCCTTTCCCATATCACAAAATTTTATAGCAGCCAAAGATGGATCCTGCTCACGTCTATTGGCTTGATTCGGGATGCTGGCCGTTTCGTTGGTTTCTACTGATGGCCTGATATTCTGTTTAACAGGAAGTTCCACATACCCAGTACAAAGTTTAATTTTAAACTCCCCTTGTCCTATATACTGTATTATCCATATGTTCAGTCAGTTCAGATTTCAAGGCCAAAAAATCTTTGAAAGCGGTTAATGTTCAGATTGGTCGGCAGGTCTCCATTACATAGATGCCTCCATACAGACATAAGACATAACAACCTGATCTGAAAAG